TTCTGCTGGTTTCAGATTCACTCAGAATAAGCCCTACTGAACACTTCCTTCACAATTACAGAGTGTCTTAACTAATGCAATGAAATACATGAACGTCTTGTTTTTATTTAGTTTCAGTTGTAGTTTTTGCTGCAGGGCGAGTGCATTCCATGAGAGAAACGAGAGAAAAAGAGGGAAATCAACCCTAGAGGAGAAATCACCTCCCAACAGAGATGGCCACCTGCAGTCTTCTCTCCTCCATCCTCTTCTTGAGATTTTTGGGCACATTGGGCACATACACACACATACACACACACACACACACACACACACACACACACACACAGTGTATTTTTCAAGCTACTGGGTGGAGAAGATAAAAACTGCCCAGTCGACCATGTGGGATCCGGCTGCCTTAAACTCTGCCATTGGTTGACTGGTACCCATTTTATTGGTCATGTACACATTCCAAAAACAACAATGTTACAAACAGTATGGAAAAATGGGTAATGAGAAAATAGTAACTATAATATGTCAGCTTCTAGGCTCAAAATCCTTCACATAAGATATCCAATATCCATATTATTTCCCTGTACATGTGTAGTTCTTGCTGAGTGTCCTTAAAGATTTTGAAGTGGGAAAATGATTCTTTGTTCTTAAATTGGAAGACTCATTTTTTTTTTCTAAATATGACCCCTTTTAATGTTTATTGGTTTTAGACAGACCAAAGCAAAATGTTGAGATCTTTAACTTTTGAGGTGCCACTTTTGTGTTAAGGAAAGTTTTATAATAAAGACTTGCCTTTCTACATGTCAAGTGTGCTGCTGGGGCTGGCAGCTGGTGTGGTGGTTAAGGGCACTGGACTCCCACGTGGCCAACTGCAGTTTGAGTCCTGGACCTAACAACTTTGTTTCTCACTTGCCCCTGCCCTCTCTCTCTCTGTCTTTTACACTTATAGAAAAAAATGAAAGAATGAATGGATAGGTGGACAGCTAGATAAAATTCAAACCCAGGTTGAGCTGAAACCAAAGGGCATGTTTTCCTATTCAGATAGGTTGAAGTTTCATTAATGTTGTGAGTGATGAGAGCTAGTAAATACTTTACCTTCTTCAGGTGAAGTTAAACACTTGTTTTGAAGGCACAGGGTTAACATGCTATTTAATGCTCACGATGTCACGCATAATGATATGTTTGAAGTAGTACACCACAATCTCCTAAGAAGTGTTCTTACTTTCTAGGACTGCTCTGCATCTGGCCTGTGCCAGTGGCCGTGAAGAAGTGGTGACTCTCTTAGCAGAGAGAAGATGTGAACTTGACATTCGTGATGGTCAAGACAAGACAGCGTTGATAATGGTATATAGTAGAGAACTGTGGAGGGCACTGCATACGGAAGCCATCTTGAGCTATCTGCCGTCTTGAGCTATCTGCCATCTTGAGCTATCCACCACCTTGGAAACCATTAGGTTTCACTTTCTCACTGAGCAAACCCTTTCTCAGAAATCATGTGACCAACTGTTCTCCCCGGAAGCAGTTGGGTTTCTAGGCAACGGGAAAGATCTACCCACACCAATGATTGGTTCATGCTGTTCTATCTCATTTGCATTTCGGGCAACCAATCAGTGCCCACCAGCCTGTATATAACTCGCCATTTTTTTCCTCAATAAACGGAAGAAGACTTGATCAGCACCTTGTATTGTCTCCACTCTGTGTGTGTGCGTGTGTTTGTCCCATCTCTCACTCCCTCCCCCAGGGAACCTGTT